GCTGCACCATCACTTTGGAACAAATTGCCGTGTGCAATAACAGAGGAGGACAATTTTAACCATTTTAAGTCCAAACTGAAGACATTTTTATTTAGAAAAACGTTTGAATAGCTCTTGATGTTTTCTATACATTTTTACTAGATCCCTTGTTTTTAATAGTTTAATTTTTAGCTCGTTACCTTAGCCTAATGTACATAATTATTGTAAATAATTAGTTTTAAATTAATCACACTATTCATAGCATATCGTTTAATGTATATTACTCATATGGTTTGTTAGGCGCATTTGATCATATTTACATGTTAATTTGCGCCTTAGAAATATTAAATATTATTATTATTATCTTTGTAATTTTGCCGGCCCGAAACATTGGGTGGGCGTGTGCGGCCCGCTTCCCGAAACCCTTAGCCTACCTGACCTATAATCAGTTTCCTAGTTCTGAACAATACTAAACACAATGTTTATATACTTTTATTAGGTAGGAGAAAGGTTGAGAGACCAATATTCAAAAGGAAACGGTAAATGTACAAATGTTATGAACCGCCGGAGTCATGTAAACCTGTCTACCCCATTTTACACACAAACCATAACCTATTTCAGACCAAAATGTCAGAATTGATATTGGTAGAGAAACAACTTTGACCACCCTTCAAACTTAGAGCTTCATTTTGGCAACCATGACAATATCCTCCCTTACGCTGATGAATTATTTTATATTTCTGATACATAGCCTCGATTTCATTCTAACGGAAGCGGTTCTTCTAAATAATTCAGCCCAAAATAGTTATCCTGGAAATAGCCGATGAAATAGCTAATGTGTGTTTCATGAGCAAATTTTGAAAAATTCTCTTTTCTTACTAACTTAAGAAGCAGTTTCGTTTTTTGTTTTTTTTTTGTGCCTTTGTTAATGAGTTCTCCAGTTGGTCACAAATGGTGTGCAAGGTACTCGAAACAATCACAATAAACATGCAGTCACTTTAACCAAGCAGAAGCAAGACACACCAATCGTTAAGTTGATGACGTCTTTATTATTATCATTATCATTATCATTATCATTATTATTATCATTATTATTATCATTATTATTATCATTATCATTATTATCACCATCAGTATCATCATCAGCTGCCGCCACAGCGTCAAGATCATCATGGCTTTCTTTGTTAATGTTGACTTGTTATCGCAGTGGAGAAGATTGCAGCGTTTTTTTTTTTCCGTAATAATTGCTCAGGAGCACTTTATTTCGAAGATAATTAAGTGCCAGTGTTTCAAAGTGAGTATATTGTAATTGATGCGCCGTGCTCTTGACGTGTAGTAAGACTCTTTGCTATCTCTACTGAAATAGGAGTTTCAAACCGTCTATATGTACTGAGTCATATAATTATAGTTTGCAAACGTAGCTCTGCACGCGTGGTGCAACACTGATGTGTTAAGATAACTGTTCGCAATGAGAGGTAATAGGCTGACTTAGCAAGAGAACGGGGACGTCACTTGACGACGGCGCGCGCAGTACAAATACCCAAATATGATCAAATTAGAACAGAATCCAGGTTATTCCGCGCGCCCTGCAGTCGTCATCTGACGTTCCCGTCCTGTTGCTAAATCAGCCTAATGTTGCATTGGCTAATTTGTTATTTCCATGTTTTCGATGTTCGATATCATACCTTATGCGGCAAAGTGAGTGCATGAGCTAACTTTAGTTAACTTTTTTCACACAATCTCACTTAAGTTAGCTTAATATGTACCATTATCATAGAAATTAAAGCAAACACTGATAATTAAAGTGATTCTTACAGTCAAACCAAGTGAAGCGTACCCCTCGAGATTACATTAATGAATTGAGTATTTGAGTATTGAACCCGCTAGGCGTTTCAAGAATGCAACAATGAATTGATTATTGGAAAATTGAACCCACTAGTCGTTCTAAGAATACAGCTAATGGGTTTAATCAATTTAAAATTGATTTTTGAAATGACTAGCGAGTTCAATATTCAAATAATCAATTCATTAATGTAATCTTGAGGGGTACGCTTCACTTGGTTTGACCGTAAAGTGGATCGATACTATAATGAATAATGCTCAGTTGGCCTGTTTGTCGAAGTTCTTGCTATGTTGTTTTCATTTCTAGGTCCCTCAGGCTGCAAAATAAAACCAGAGGATGTGTGGCATTCCTTGATTCACCTCCATTTAGGACAGCTACAGCCAAAGTAATTATGTGGAATTTTGTGTACTTTTCGGGAAATGGTCAAGCGGGACGTGAGAGAAACGGTGGATATGAGGATCTGTTAGTAAAAATACCATTAACGTGCAAGACGAATGTCAAAATTACAGATAGCCAGTATACAGAGGCGTAATACAGTGGGTTTTTTTATTCTAAGCAGTCTCGGTAGAAATTTCAGAAAGGCTTTGATTTGTATGCCTACATACAGTATATCCTGACCGAGAATTGAACTTATCATCTGCATGTTGCACGGAGAACCTTTTCGTTAGTTATGGGGTGTCATGTTTTGGTTTGTTACCATACCTGTTGAAGTATATGGTTTCTTATTGCTCTGTTCTCCTGGTCCACTTGCATCAGTATGTAATTATAAACATCACTGAAAGAGATTAAATGGCAACTCTTATCAGGAGTGTTATTTGTGTTCTCGCTCATGAAGAAGATATCTTTCATTCTTTTTACGTCAGGCGCTGTTTAATAGATACCAGGAGGAGAGGCGTGTCGGCTGGAAAAGACTGATGTGCCACCGCTTTGTCTTAATTCACAACCGACTGACACATCCCTGGTGAAGTGCTGGAATATACATAACACTAACCCACACATAGAGTACAAACAGAAGCATATCACCTAGTTCAAGGTGATATGCTTCTGGTACAAAACATAGTGTTAAATAGTTTCCTAAATTTTCTTTTACAATGTCTTGGTTGCTGTCTTCCTCTGCACCCCTCTGAAGTTACATTGAGAACAGAAAGATTTAAAATTTGTTATGTACGCTGGAAAAGATTTACCTTAAATCACTCACACCAATATGCTTCTGAAGGGGATATCATATTAATTATAACTGATTTTTCTGCGTACTTTGGACCAAAACCATCTTCACCCTCTATTGATTTCTGATTTATATCGAGGAGTAGAATGTCCGCATTTTCAGGAAATTCCCGTGGAGTGGGAGGTGAGGCAAAGGCCCCACAAGGATGTTTTGTCCTTAAGCGCTAAGAGACAAATCTATACCTTCACCAGCTTTGTCAGTGGAATGAGCTACCAGCTTTGTGGTAGTGCAGAAAAACTGCTTTGTAGAAATAATAAAGATCTTGTGTTAATGAAATGTGCAAGAATCGTAAGAACATCACTGTAATTTTAATTAGTACAAACACTAGCGACTGTGTAAAACAATTTATTAAAATAAGGATCACTGGATAATCCAATTCGAGAGTTTTTATTGGCTTAGCCATCATGGGTTATGAGCCAGGTTATTTTTATTTCAGTCTAGTTTTCTATATTTTGCGGGCGTTTTCAATAAAACAATTATTCCGCTGGTGCTTGTTGGGAATGAGATGCTACACGCCTGGTTGGCTATCTACCATCTCATATCCAACGCGCGCTCGTGGAATAATTATGTTAAGTTGTGTAACACCTTTTCGTTAGCCTAACTAGAATCAAGATCTCGTTGTGGACCTGCTTTGAAACTGGAAGATAGTCACATGCAAAACTCTTTAACGTTAATGAACTGTTGGTGTTTGAACTTGATCGAAGACATCAACAAAGCAACCTTACCGTTGACGAGTAACTGCTCGGATCCTGCTCGGGTCTCTCTCGGGTCTTTGTCGGGTCCTGATTTCAGTAAGTGTCTGGAAAAGAAAATTGGAATTTACGAGTGGAGTCGAGAGAAACGTACGATGGAGATCTTATTGTATTCGACTCTATGTACGCTTTTTATCTCCTCTGCTCGGCAAATTTTTACCACTTGGCGTAAGCTACGTTTAGTAAGCAATAGTGCAATAGCTGCTGGCAGCAATAGTGCTGGCAACAAAGCCAGTTGATATCTGATCATTTCTGTCCTTGAGTAAACTGAAGCAATAGATCGATTGCATTAATGGCGCCGAATTTAAATACTTTAGCCACACATTACAGAACCTGACCTTCGTACTCAGGAGAGAAAAAGCCTTTGTCTGGAAACATAAGCACAAGGCTGAGGTATTGTTATTCAACTAGGTGACGCCATTTGTGCAAATGATCAATCACGTCAGCCACGCACAAAAAACACAAATAGCACAAGGAACCAATCAGCGCTTGCATGCAGTGAAGAAGCCACGTGTTTCCTCTCACCTGACTGACCCCCACCCCCAAGTGTTTTCGTCTGCATTTTCCTTCGCTTTCGTCTCAACCCCGCAATTTCTATATTTTTCAGTCGTGCAGTAAATGTAACTTTTGGGATGTTAAACCGAGCTTCAGGACTCGAAAGCAATCAAAAAATTTTTCACTCTTTCTAAAAAAAAAAAGTATTTACATGCAGTTTAAAAGCTATAAGTTTACTGTTTACGTGGTTAGTGCTGTTGACACTCTTCTTTAAATTTATAGTGGATGCCATATTCTCACGGTAGAACTCACCCGAGGGTTTTCCATGCTAAAGATTCAATTACTTTAGAATAACAGCAGACGTTTCAAGATCAAAACTCTGTTGAAGAACATTTAACAGTTGTTAGAACATTCAAGAAATTGAACTGACCCACACGTGCATGTATCTTGTTAGGAATGGCAATGCAACATGTACAGAACTCCTGCGACAGTCTCCTTACAAACAGAGATAGAATCGTGCTCAGCTTAGAAATCGTATCACCAATAGTAACTGTTTATTCCTTTGAACTCTCTCTGTTATATGATAGTTTTGTACTGGTAAATCGCTTCAAGAGGGGAGAGTTTGTTCTACGCGTACTCTGCCGGTGTGTTATGGGTAGAAAATTGCGTTGTTTCTATGAGAAATCAGGAAAGACCGCAGTGACAGAAAGAAAAGCTGTGAAATCAGTTACATTCAAGCTGTTAAATACCAGAATCATTCAAGGTCTCTCGGTAGAAAATGTTCGTCAAATGTCTTAAGACAAAAAGTATGAGTTCATACGTACTACAACATAGAATCGGGTGTGAAACGGATTCAGTAAGCAAGAGGCTATGATCACGGTCTCATGGTGAAACGGATAAGCAGCTAGAAGCGAAGGTCTTAGCAGATTAAACACAGTTTCGTATCATATAAGTGCTCCGCAGCACATTTGGGTAAATACAGGCAGGATCCAGTGAGAACGAATAAACCTTGCAACGTCCTGCGAAACACTGGCTAACCAAACGAGGCTCTTTACAGATCTTTGTAGATTTTGTTTAATGGTTGAGAATCCGGTGTTTATACCGGTTTACACCCACAAGACTTGATGGAAGACCATCACTACATGGGAAAACTAAAAACACTTGTGAAACGACAAAGTAATAAAACGATTCTCTGTACTAACTTGCAGGCCGTTTTCCTGACTCTTGATTCTGTTCAGCTCGTTAACTGGAGACAAAACCTGCGAAGATACAAGAAAACCAGCCATGAAACAGATCAAAAACGACGAAGGCCTTGACAGTTTAATAAAGTTACAGACATGGTCTCGCTAATGCCCAACGATCAGCACTTTTGCTTAATAGAAACCAAGTAGAAAGCCAGGATAAATTATCCGCACGAGGCTCTTTGTCAGATTATCGTACTGATCTTGGTTAACAGTTTTTATACCAACAACTGACACGTTACAATACCGTCACTACATTGGAAAATCAAAAACACGCTCGTTTACCGTCAATTGAGGATAACAGAGTCTCCAGCGATTACCCGCATTTTTTCTTAACAAGGCAGCAGTAACTGCCTACCTTTGGGTTGTGAGTCAGGCCAAGTGTAGATTGTTTCTCTCTAAGAGCGGAGTGACACTGGACAACATAAACATCAACTAAGAAACGTTGGAGAACTTGAAACTTACCTTGCTTTACGCATTACAAGGCTGAAATACAGCCCTTTCTTTCAGTTTCCAATTCTCCTTGATATAACTGGGTATGTACACCTGGTGTCCCGAAATGCAGTCGCACTGAAACAATGGCGCCATCACCGACCAACTTAACAATAATAATAACATGGGCCAACATGGCGACTGTCAATCGAATGGTAAATTATCTCCGTTACAGAAGATTATGTGTTAACTTGTTTCACTGTAATGTATCTTCTTTTGTCGGACTACGGTTGCTTGTAGCGTCCTTTTAAGGATGTAAAGAAGTTCTTCAAATGTGGCTTCCTCCTTGTTGTTCAGATATATTTCGACTAGCTTGTGTCGCTAGCACTTCACTTCTAGAAGTCATATCTTGCTTTCACGTCCTTTGTTGTTGTTATGTTTCCGGGCTGCTGATTTGTTTCACGCAAAACTCTGAGCTTTTTAACGGAGAGCAGTGTCTTAAAGAATTCAGGTTGCACTTTGGCACCGGCGCAGTACTTACAGTCACATAACCGTCTTTGCTTCCAGTCGAGAAAAACACGTACTCAGTCAGGAAATCTATTGCTGTATTCTGCATCGATGGAATGTGCCTGTCGGTAGTTTCACCAAACGCTTCTGCCATATGATAGAGAATTTGCAATGTGCGAAATTCCCGGTCACTTACATTGTCTGTGATTATGACATCATGCATATGATAATCGCTCCTCGTTCCTTTACAGTGAACGCTGTTATCTAGTTATTGTTTATCCCAAGCGACTTTAAACGTACTAGTTTAAGTGAGCCAGTCAATAAATTTTTGGGCGAAAGTTTTAAAGCGCTTTCAATCAAATTTGTTATTTAATGACTTTAATGCATCATTGGCTAACACGTCCAGGCTTGTTTCTCACCCTGGGCTTATAACGCAACGAACCGTGTACTCGAAACTTTGAAATCTGTTTGTTGCTTTGAGGAAGCAATTTCTGTCAGCAAATGTCAGTCACTAGCATAAGCAAGCAATTCATTGGTTGCTAAGTCAATGACCTTTCCGTTAACTGGCTTTATACGTTCCTAGAAAGAGATTACAATGAGTCGTTCAGTTTCTCTTTGAATTTTTGAACTCTTTCATAAACGACCCGAAAGAATTTTTATATTTATTTGAGTATCCACCGAGGTCAAGGTGATAAATCACAATTCATATGGTAGCTTACGTTCGCACTCAAAATGTTCCCACGTACAGTATTTTTTTAAAATTGCCTTGCAGCATAAAAGCTCGCCTTGTGATTGTCACACTTTCCAATAACCAATCAAACGCGATTATTTTCGCGCCTGGTACGTGTTCGTTTTTCAGCGTCACGCCATCGCTATGGATCAGCACTCAATCCCCCCGCACTCAATCTACGACCATAAAAACAGTTCTCGAACTGAAAGACATTGAATTGTTCGGACTCATTTTGTGATACCTTCTGTAAATCGCATCTCAAGAAAGGTACGTCATGGATTTCTCCGTTTCTGTGTTTGTTATTTTTAAATGTAAGTGTGGAACGCAAATGAGCTCATGGCGCGGTCTACTGATGACAATTCCTCGTTGTTCATTGTAGTTTCGTGTTGATGTCTGTGATTCGCGACTTATAAAATTCACACACCAATGACTTTGGTTCTTTAGTCTTTAGTATCTAAACAAACGAAGTGTAATTGGGCAGCCACGATATCAGCTCAACCGAATTACTCTTTTGAACATTCTGCTTTTGAACAGCGCAGAAATTGTTGACAGTCTGCAGCACGTGGTCTCCAAACAGTGCATAAAACGGCGGGAACTTTAAGCCTTGCCCGGCATTTTCCAACGAAAATACCTTAAGTGGTTTGATTGTGCTCTCAAGAATCCTTGCTTTGTGAATGCCGTATGCTTTGTTGCTGAACTTACGTTAAATCTACAATGTGCAATTTTTGGCCACCCCCCCGGGGGGGGGGGGGGG